CCCAAAGATCATCCCTTTTTTAGTTTCCTGTGCTCTGAAGCTGGAGCCGGGGGCCTTTGAGTGGCGTGTCAGTGACCGGAGGCCAGCAGGTGTGCGCCTGCCGCAGGCTGTGCTTTCACCCCCGCCGGCCCCCAGGCCCCCAGAGCTGCTCAGCGGGTGTCTGCAATGCACCCATTGGGGAGTACGGTTTTCAGAGGCCCTGAAAGCTAATGCCCTGGCCCGTGTCCTCGGGATTAGCTAACTGGAACATGAATGTGACATGAGATCGGCCGGGGAGAAGGGGACATGGGCCTCTGGGGAGCAGCAACCACGCAGCTCACAAGCGTCAACAGCCGAGTGGCTTGCTGGCAACGAGCCGCCTTGCTGGGTCCCCCGACAGCTCGGTCCCCATGCAGAACCCACAGCTGCCATGTTTTTTCCCCGTTCTAACCCAGAGGGGACGTGGCTGAAGGACACAGGTATTTCTAACGGCTCGGTTTCATGAGAATGGGGGCGACCTTGCAGGTCTTTGCCCGCTTCACGTCCGCCGTAGGACATGGCACCCCTCTCAGCTGTCTCAAGCATGGGGCTGCATGCGCCACGAAGAGCCCACTGTCATCTACAGATAAAGACACAGACTGAGGCCCGAGACCCCAAGGCCACCACACTAAGCCAGCTTTGAACCCAAATGAGTCTGAACCCTCCTGCATCTGCACATAGCAATTTCTGGGTTCATGGGGTAGAGTCCCTCCTCCTATACAGATGGGGGCCTTCTAGAATGTTCCTCCCCTCTGTCCGGCTCTGCTGCTTATTACGTAGCATTTTTTTCTGGGAGAGGCCCGCCCGTCCAGTGTCTGAAATTGTTTTTCCGATGCAAAATATATTTATAATAAATAAAAATAAAATGCCATACCCAGATTGAAGTTACCTGTACCACCTGCAGACCGGGGCACTTCGCTGTAAAGACAGCCAACTCCTCCTACGGAAATCTAGGCACTGTCAATCAAGTTATTAGTTGATGCAAGAGAAGTCCCTGGGACCCAGGCGGACCCTCCTTGTCCTGTTCCCCTTGTTCCTCTGGCTTCTACACAAATGAGAAGGGCTTTGAAAGGGACAGTTAGGGGACAGGGAATAAACCACCAAAGTAAGAATCATTTTTCCGTGTTGAGTACCTACTGCGTGCCAAGCATTTCTTGTTATTTCATTTAAGGCAGCAAGGCAACACTTGAAGCAGGAGGAGGGGGACCTACCTATAGTCACTGGTTCAAGGTCACTCACTCCTCCCAGGGGGTCATGCCCTCCCTGACCCTGTGCAGGCCCCATAAGCCCCAATCACAGTTGTTAGCACCTTTTCATATCAAAGTGAGAGATTTTAACACCTCCCTTGATTATCTATGACAGGCAGAGGAATTGCATGGTTCTGGATTTTTTACTATATTGTTTTTAAGACTGTAGAATCCTCAAGGCCCCTACCTCCCCAGAAAGACTGTTAGTGTAACAAGCATACATACTCGTTCTGCTGGGAGGTCAGTGTAGGAGGTCCTCACACCGCTCTGGGCAGCTGTGCCGCACCCTGGCCTCAGGAACCCACCGACTCGCTGCCCTCCAGGGGGCAGCGAGCCTCGGCTGTAGAACCAAAGGCTCAAGTTAGTTCCATTCTGAAGGGTTCACATATTTACAAATTGTTCAAATATTTAAATCAGAAAAAAATAAATCCTTTTCAGACCTTTGATTCCATCCCGGGCCAGGCATCTGCTCCCTTCCTAGGAGAAAGCCACCGCCTCGCCTCTGGCCACCTGGGAGGGAAGAGAAATTACTCATGGGTCCAACCAGGATGCAGCCCCCCTGTCCCAGCCACCCCCGCAGCCTCCTCCTCCTCTTCTCCCCCTCCTCATCCTCCTCCTCCTCCACCGGCCCCATTGCTACCAGCAGCCCTACTGTGTGCTGAGGGACTGTGGGCAAAACACTATGAGGGTCCCCCAGGGTGTAGGCGGGGTTCTCAGGTGAGGGCGGGGCCACCAGCCTGGAAAGATGCTACTTACAACCACCTTGGAGTCAAAACTCAGGGAGCTTAGAGTTTCACTCAGAGTTGCGCAGAGGCTGGGCCCAACTCACATCAACTCTGAAGGGCATTTGCTGGAGAGAAAAATGGGGGTCCAGCAAGAACAAGGGGCTGGACATTGAGTGCCAGTGTGGCTCTCAGTGATGTGGACGTGCCAGTTAGAGACGTGGGTGGCTTGAGGTGCGTCCTGGGCTTCAGATTCCCCTCTGGAAAGTGGGGGTAACAAAGGTAACACCTTCACGGGTTGTTATAAAAAGTAAGAGAATTAAAATAGTGCCTTGGCCTGGCTGGTGCGGCTCAGTGGTTGAGCATCAAGCCATGAACCAAGAGGTCACATGCCCAGGTTACCGACTCAATCCCCAGTAGGGGGCGTGCAGGAGGCAGCCAAAGAGATAGATGTTTCTATTTATCCCTCTTTCTTCCTCTTTCTCCAAAATCAATAAAAACATATGGGGGGGAGGGCGCGGAAACAATGCCTGCCACATAGTAAGCACTCAAGCAATCCCACGGAAAGACCCAAATGCAGCCATGTGGGAAAAGGGGGGTTAATGATACAGTCACGTGAGAAAAGCTCCGCATACAAATTTTAAATTGTCCTGTGGAAAACGCATGCTTGTCACACAGCCCGGACTTGCATATTAAAGACATTCATTTATCCCATAACTTTTTAGAAAGAAGCGCAGTTCCTGTCAACCAGACGGGAGTCCATCCGCTGACTACAGTGACTACTTGCATCAAAGGTAAGCCTTGGGCCGGAGGTCCCATGCTGACCTCCCCCCAGGGGCCTGGGGGTGGAGGGGATGGGCACTTAATGGGGTGGGCCGGCCATTAGGAAGGAAGGTTAAAGGGTTCGTTTGGTGCTCAATATCTCTGTTCAAATACTTGGGCGGCTACAATGAGCAGGTCCTGGGCCAGCTGTCCTGTCCCTCCACCGACAACCAAATTAGCCAAAATGAATTGGGAAGGACCCCATGAGCCTTTCGGTAAGATAGAGGCCGACACTGAGAACCCCACTCCTCTGGTCTGGTCTCCCAATCGACAACGAGGCTGATCATGGTCACCATGGAATGAAATATTCCTCTCTGGCCCCAAATGGCCACTGCCAACCCCTTGAGGGGTGACTGAAAGCCGGGGTTTGAATGCTGCCCCCGCCTCTTCCTTCGTGAATTGGGCCTGCTGAACCCCTACATTTAATGCTGGGAAACAGGGAATAAACCACCTTGTAAGGAAAGCAGTCACTAACAGACTGAGTGGTGAGGGTCCTGTCTGACACCCAGCAGATGCTCAGGAAACATTAGTTTTAACTAAAAAATCGAATTACCTCTGTCTGGACATCACGCGCCTCCTGCATCTGCACAGACCGCCCCTCCCCAGCCTCATCACCAGCCACTTAGCGCCGGGGGTGTTCACTAGTTGTTTCGCCCCCTGGACTCGGTTCGCTCCTTGTCAAGGCAGGCCAGTGAAATAATTAACGCCGGCACCATGTGTGAAAATGCTTTCTGAGTCTCGTCCGCTGCAATTACAGCAGATGTTCGCAAAGTAGTGACACGGGAGCCCTAATGATGAAACGGGCCCTTACTGTTCCCATCTCCCCTGGGAGAGAGGTGCTCCTCCGTTTGTAAATGGGCGCCCCGAGCCTGGCCTCTGCTCCCACTCAGGCGGGCCCTCCTCCCACGGCCGCCCGGCTCCTAGCCTGCAGCTCCTGGCCACCAGAGACACCACCAGACTCCACTGAAACCCCTCCCGCTAGAAGACACCACCAGCTGGTGCTCTCCACAGTGGCTTCCATGTGGGGGCCTCTAAAGAAATGAAACAGAAGGGACCCCTATTTCTAAGAATTGAGGCGGGGTGGGCACCGTCCCCGAGTTCCACCTGCTCTGCCAAACCCCTCCCTTCACCAAAGCTCCCCAGGGTCACCCTTCAAACACCTCCTCAGGAGCCCAAAGTGACAGGAACAAAATGAGAAGACCGCTACCCAACCCTCCTAGCAGATCTGGGGAAACTGAGGGCCCAGGAGGAGCGGGTCACCCTGAAAGTAGGCGTGGGTCCCAGCTGGCAGCTGGCTGGCTCCTTCCCCTACCCACTTGCCTTGAAAGGCAAGAGCAGCATTGGGAGCAGCTCATTGGCCCGTCTGATTTGGGCAGCTCAGAAGGACTCTCTCTGTGACCCCTCTCCCAGCCCCTCCCTTGGGCGACACTCTCCCCCTCCCAGGGTTATTCTGGGCAGAGTGATCCAGCTACCCCCTGGAACTGCCAATCAAGGAGGGGGGGAGGGGGACAGGGACTTGGCTGCAGGAACATGCCTGGGTCCAGGGCACTGCCCTTCACCTTGAGGGGTGGTGAAGGGCTTCAGGGACCCTCTCCAAGAGGCCCCCCAACCCAGCCCGGTTTGGGGTTGGAAGAGAGGCCCTGGGGTCAACCCCAGCTCTGCCAGAACTCACTGCATGTCTTGAGTCATAGTGATGCCCTTCCAGAGACTCAGTTTCCCCAATGAAGCCCGTGGCCCAGTGGGGCCTGACATTCACAAACCCAGGGGAAGGGAGGGGAGACTGGCAGCTCCGGGTCAAGGTGAGGAGGCTTTCTCATCTGTAAGGCCCAGAGGTCTCTAGGCCACAAGCCAGGTAATTGAATGGACAAGGCAGAGGCCTGGAAGAGAGGCACCCCAATGCGAGTTGTGCCAGCCCAGCAGATGCCCAGGTTACCGACTCAATCCCCAGTAGGGGGCGTGCAGGAGGCAGCCAAAGAGATAGATGTTTCTATTTATCCCTCTTTCTTCCTCTTTCTCCAAAATCAATAAAAACATATGGGGGGGAGGGCGCGGAAACAATGCCTGCCACATAGTAAGCACTCAAGCAATCCCACGGAAAGACCCAAATGCAGCCATGTGGGAAAAGGGGGGTTAATGATACAGTCACGTGAGAAAAGCTCCGCATACAAATTTTAAATTGTCCTGTGGAAAACGCATGCTTGTCACACAGCCCGGACTTGCATATTAAAGACATTCATTTATCCCATAACTTTTTAGAAAGAAGCGCAGTTCCTGTCAACCAGACGGGAGTCCATCCGCTGACTACAGTGACTACTTGCATCAAAGGTAAGCCTTGGGCCGGAGGTCCCATGCTGACCTCCCCCCAGGGGCCTGGGGGTGGAGGGGATGGGCACTTAATGGGGTGGGCCGGCCATTAGGAAGGAAGGTTAAAGGGTTCGTTTGGTGCTCAATATCTCTGTTCAAATACTTGGGCGGCTACAATGAGCAGGTCCTGGGCCAGCTGTCCTGTCCCTCCACCGACAACCAAATTAGCCAAAATGAATTGGGAAGGACCCCATGAGCCTTTCGGTAAGATAGAGGCCGACACTGAGAACCCCACTCCTCTGGTCTGGTCTCCCAATCGACAACGAGGCTGATCATGGTCACCATGGAATGAAATATTCCTCTCTGGCCCCAAATGGCCACTGCCAACCCCTTGAGGGGTGACTGAAAGCCGGGGTTTGAATGCTGCCCCCGCCTCTTCCTTCGTGAATTGGGCCTGCTGAACCCCTACATTTAATGCTGGGAAACAGGGAATAAACCACCTTGTAAGGAAAGCAGTCACTAACAGACTGAGTGGTGAGGGTCCTGTCTGACACCCAGCAGATGCTCAGGAAACATTAGTTTTAACTAAAAAATCGAATTACCTCTGTCTGGACATCACGCGCCTCCTGCATCTGCACAGACCGCCCCTCCCCAGCCTCATCACCAGCCACTTAGCGCCGGGGGTGTTCACTAGTTGTTTCGCCCCCTGGACTCGGTTCGCTCCTTGTCAAGGCAGGCCAGTGAAATAATTAACGCCGGCACCATGTGTGAAAATGCTTTCTGAGTCTCGTCCGCTGCAATTACAGCAGATGTTCGCAAAGTAGTGACACGGGAGCCCTAATGATGAAACGGGCCCTTACTGTTCCCATCTCCCCTGGGAGAGAGGTGCTCCTCCGTTTGTAAATGGGCGCCCCGAGCCTGGCCTCTGCTCCCACTCAGGCGGGCCCTCCTCCCACGGCCGCCCGGCTCCTAGCCTGCAGCTCCTGGCCACCAGAGACACCACCAGACTCCACTGAAACCCCTCCCGCTAGAAGACACCACCAGCTGGTGCTCTCCACAGTGGCTTCCATGTGGGGGCCTCTAAAGAAATGAAACAGAAGGGACCCCTATTTCTAAGAATTGAGGCGGGGTGGGCACCGTCCCCGAGTTCCACCTGCTCTGCCAAACCCCTCCCTTCACCAAAGCTCCCCAGGGTCACCCTTCAAACACCTCCTCAGGAGCCCAAAGTGACAGGAACAAAATGAGAAGACCGCTACCCAACCCTCCTAGCAGATCTGGGGAAACTGAGGGCCCAGGAGGAGCGGGTCACCCTGAAAGTAGGCGTGGGTCCCAGCTGGCAGCTGGCTGGCTCCTTCCCCTACCCACTTGCCTTGAAAGGCAAGAGCAGCATTGGGAGCAGCTCATTGGCCCGTCTGATTTGGGCAGCTCAGAAGGACTCTCTCTGTGACCCCTCTCCCAGCCCCTCCCTTGGGCGACACTCTCCCCCTCCCAGGGTTATTCTGGGCAGAGTGATCCAGCTACCCCCTGGAACTGCCAATCAAGGAGGGGGGGAGGGGGACAGGGACTTGGCTGCAGGAACATGCCTGGGTCCAGGGCACTGCCCTTCACCTTGAGGGGTGGTGAAGGGCTTCAGGGACCCTCTCCAAGAGGCCCCCCAACCCAGCCCGGTTTGGGGTTGGAAGAGAGGCCCTGGGGTCAACCCCAGCTCTGCCAGAACTCACTGCATGTCTTGAGTCATAGTGATGCCCTTCCAGAGACTCAGTTTCCCCAATGAAGCCCGTGGCCCAGTGGGGCCTGACATTCACAAACCCAGGGGAAGGGAGGGGAGACTGGCAGCTCCGGGTCAAGGTGAGGAGGCTTTCTCATCTGTAAGGCCCACAGTGATGCCCTTCCAGAGACTCAGTTTCCTCAATGAAGCCCATGGCCCAGTGGGGCCTGACATTCACAAATCCAGGGGAAGGGAGGGGAGCTCTGGGTCAAGGTGAGGAGGCTTTCTCATCTGTAAGGCCCAGTGGTCTCTAGGCCACAAGCCAGGCAATTGAATGGACAAGGCAGGGGCCTGGAAGAGAGGCACCCCAACGTGAGTTGTGCCAGCCCAGCAGCCCTCGGGAGGGCCCACAGTCCCCTGGGACCCTCCTCAAGGGCCCCCAGGGAGCCACCGCTCTCTGTGCCCACTCCCAACTAGGAAGCTGAATGAGAAGGGACTACAGCCCTGGTCCTTCAAGCCCAGATGGCTCTGAGTATGTCCTAGAGGCGGCCAGGGTCTTTGCCTGATGCTGGCCCGAACACCCATCCTGGTAGCCCAGAGAACCAGGGTCCCCTGTGAAGGCGGGGGTCTAAGAGGCCAGAAAAGGGGAGCACGGAACACAGAGTCCCAATCCCCCTCTTCTCCCTCTGCCCTCATGTACACCATCTCTACCGTCCTCCTCAGCAACTGGGCCTCCCGCCCTCCTCCTGTGTCCTCACCTCTTCCCTAATTCCTCCGCCCCCCGCTCTTACCCCAGGCTCAACTCTGCTCCTAAATATCCTCTCATCTCCTCTTCCAAGCTCTATTTTTAAAATCAGATTTCCTTTACTGTACAAGTGAGCTGACAGGCAGAGGTATTTGCTGAGGGATTGGCCCCCCCGCACCCCCCCACACCCAACCCTTCATAGACACACGTTGGCAGCCCCGACCCAATGGGCCACTTGCTCGGAGGCAAGCAGGGAGCTGTCCTGAACAAGAAGGCTCTGGGCACGGCAGGTGGTGAGGCTGGGGTGTCTGTCTGTGGGTGCCGGGGGTAGGGGGTCTGACTCAAAGACCCCAAACCAGGTGCCCTCAATCCTAGCTTGGGAGGGGGGTATGAAATGAGAATTTCCAAATCAGTAGATATTTTTTTTAAATCGTCCTGTGGCTTGAGACCTCAACATAGATGAAACTACATTCGTAAGACTGAGAGGCCAGAGAAGAGGCAGGGGCAGCTGTGGGCATGGAGGGATAGGTGAGAGGGCGGGGGAACCCCACCTTCAGAAATGATGGTCCCAAGGCCCCAAAGTCCTCACCAAAGGATGGACAGCTGAGCCCAGAGAACCCTGAAAGGATATGCTCACCAGGGGTGGAAGGGGGACCTCCCAGTCTTGCCCCCCAAACCCCACGCTCACCTCCAGCATGGCATGAAACCGCAAGGGCGTGGTCCCCACCTCCTTGCTGATGACAGACGTCCAGCAAGGCAAGGCTGCCTCCATTTCTTTACCCCCAGGATCCAGTGGCTGTCCTAGAAAAAAGAATCAGGACATGCCGCTGTATGAATTAATGAACTATACACAGAGGTACCAGCTTCAAAATATAAAAAGACCTGGAGGCAATAAAATCAAGATTTGTTTGGGGGCAAGAAGTAGGATACCAAGTCTTCCTGCGAAGTATGAGGAGAAATGGGGGCTAAAGCTTAGGCTTTGTATCCAGAGTAACGAAGAGCATTGTGAAGATTTTTCAGCTTAGCAAACACTTGGTGCAATTTTCATTCCACGCTCAGACCTTTGGGTTTTGTGTTGGGGACATGAAATAGGGAAGGTTTTAAACTGAGAATACCACCAGTAAATCGGTATCATGCTAAGATGTCCAGGTATTTTGTCAGTGATGGAGATTCATGAAAAGATTTTAAGCAGGGCTTTCATGAATAGATTTGGGAGTTTGGGGGAAGAAATCTGGACTTTATTTTGATGGGTGACAGAATCAAACTTTTAAATCATACTAAAGAGTTTGGGTTCCTGCCAAAGGGTTTTAAGAAATGTGGTGAGGATTTTGTTGTGGGAGATAAAGTCTGCAGATAAACATGATAAAATGTATTTTAAGGCCAATGGCTTTGGACTCTTACATTATAGGCAATGAGGAAACATTGAAAATTATAACATGAAAAGGAACAGCCATAAATTACGCATCATGCTAAAAACATTTGGACTTTATGGGTCGAGGGGATGCTAATGTCTGACTTTGGGAACATGCCAAGAAGGTTTGATTGATGTTGGCACCAAAGCTGAGAGATTTCAATCAGGGGACTTCCATGATCAACATTGGGAATATGCAAAAATATTTGGAATTTATTTCCAGGCACTGACATGATTAGATTCTTCCACACGCCTAGAAATTTGATTTTAGCCAATAAAGTTCTAAGAGAGGGACATCATGATATTTCTTTGTGTTTGATAAACAGTATGCAGTGAAATTATAAAATAAAATTCACATTTTATGCTAAGAACTTGGCCTTTTATTCCATAATTCCACAACTGAGAGAGGGAGTGTGTGAGTTAAGGCAGAGTTACAGGATCAGATTTTATATACTGTGCTAGGAAGTGTGAATTTTATTTTAAGGGATGACAAGATCGAATTTTTATACCATGCTAATAAGTTTGGATTTAAGCCAATAAAGGCTTTAAAAGAATGACGGGGTGAGATTTAGGTTTTTTTATAGACCAGTCTGAAGATAAATTACATGGTAAAACGTTGCATTTTATGTTAAGTAGTTGGGACTTTATGTTACAAGGCAATGAAGAAAGCTTGAAAAGTTTCAAATTGAGTTACATGATCAAACTTATGCATTTCAGCAGAGCTACAAAAGTAGATTTTTATGGTAAAGATAATATGATCAGATTTTTATATCACGCCAAGTAGATGAGATTTCATGTGAGAGTTGAAGGCATTTGAGCATTTCATTTTAGGGAGGGGTATGATCTCATTTTTGAACCCTCAATGCAGAGGCATTGGGATGTTAGCCAATATAGTGTTTTAAGGAGTGACTGATAAGAGTTTTGTCTCCAGGGGAATTTGCTGGCAAAACAAATTTTATGCTAAGGTGACTGGATTTGATGAGCCAGATGATAAACGAGCATGGACAGCTCAGGGGAGGCACACTTTGGCACAAGTGCATCCTTTTGCAGTTCATGCTGAGGAACTGTATCATTCACAGCAAGTAACGGGTGGGCGGGGCGGGGCTCATGTGAAGGTCATGTGACTGAATTCCCATAGCACTCGAAGAGGGTTAGACACTACTTGGAAGAATGACAGGATCACTTTTTTGTGCCTCCTAAGGAATTTGGATTTGGGCCATTAAGAAATCTTAAAGAAGGACGTGGCAAGATTTCTGTGTTTGATAAGAGCAGTGTGCCTAGAAATTACAAAATAAAATGTTTATTGTATTCCAAGGAGTTTAGATATTGTCTTAAAGGTGATTAAGAAATATAAGCATAACTAATGGACATAAGACACTGGGGGGTAAGGGAGGGCAGGGGATTGTCAAGGGCGGGGGAGGGGGGGGAAGGACACATATGTAATACCCTTTGTAATACTTATTATAATATTTTTTTAAAAAGAATAATAATAAAAAAATAAAAAATAAAAATAAAAAAAAAGAAATATTATAGGCTTTTCCACATAAGTTACAGGACCAAATTAAAGTGTCTGGCAAAGGAGTGTGACCTTTTATTTTGAGAAATGACATGGTCAGATTTTTGTATCATGCTTAGAAGTTTGGAATTAAGTCAATAAAGAGTTTAAGAAGTAGTTAGGTAAGACTTTGGGTTCTATATCCATCAGATTGAAAATAAATTACATGGTAAAAAAATGTTGTTTTATGGTAAGTGATTGAAACTTCATATTTTATAAACGGTGAAAAAAAACATTTGCAACCTTTAAATAGAGAGGTTATGAGATAATATTTATGCATCTTGTTAAAAGTTTAAACTTTGATATTAAAAGGATTATTAAGATGAGTTTTTATGACATGCTGAGGATAGTTGATTTTAGGTTAAGGACAAGAAAGTTTAAGGGCTTAATCAATTGCATCATCAAGTTTGTAAATATATTAATAATTGTAGACTTTATATTAAAGAAGGGGTATATGATCTATAGTTTTTAAATCATCTTGCTAAGGAGTTTAAATTTTAGCCAACAGAGTTTTAAGGACTTCGATATACTAAAATAAAATTTTAATCAATTAAAATTTTAAATATTAAAATTTTTAATATTAATAATAGGAAACATATTGAGATTTTAAATTTTAATCAATTTAAATTTATATCTGCCAATGGTTTTAAAAGACATATGAGATTTTAAATTTTATCAATTTTTTTATTTTAAATATTAGCCAATGAATAGTTTTAAGTGTTTTTTAGTGAGATGCTGAGGTTTTATATTTTAAATGTTATATTTTAACCAATTTAAATTTTTTAATTTAAAATTTTAGCCAAAAGAGGGTTTTATGGGTCTTAAGAGACATACTGAGATTTTTATTCCTAATAGAAAATTAGGTGAATTACTTAGTCAAATTTAGTATTTCAATTAGAACTTTATACCACAGACTTGTAATTTTACAATAATGACACAAAGCTTTTTATGAAGAGAAAATAAGTTAATTTATGCAAGGTATTCTATGATGTAGATGCTAATGGTGATGGAGATGATGATGATGAAGAAGATGGTAATGAGGAGATTTTATGCTAAAAAAAATATAATATCTACCTTGAGAAATAGCATGATCAGAATTTTCTATTATTCTATGGCCTTAAAATTTTAGCCAGAAAATGATTTTGGGGAGTTTATGTGTCAGGAATTTTATGCAAAAAGATTTGGACTTAATAATGTAGACAGTAAAGAAACAACAAAAGTTTTAATCAGAGGTCCTGCAGGATCAAATTTAACTGTCATGCTAAGGATGATTTACTTAATTTTGAAAAACAGCAGATCAGAATTTTGTATCTCATTGGATGGTTTGGCGATTAGGCAATGAAGAGTTTTACAGAAGGGCATGAATGTTTGTTTTTAATGGAGAAAACCGAGAAGTAACAAAAGGTGTTACACAAGTAAAAGCAGTAACCGTAGAGCTAACCTATTGAATGACCAGAACTCAGTTTGCTGTGCCCCAGCAGAGAAGAAATGTGCAAAACCCGTCCCGAAACATCGCTTTACATTCAGTCTTGGTCCACTAAAAACACCAGGACTAGATTTTCAAAAGTCCACTCCAAGACAATCAGATAGATGTCAAAGAGACCTCCCACCTCTACTCCTCACTCAATATCCCAACTCAACTGGATACACCCCTATGTTAGGGGAAAACCAACCAGCAACAGACAGGGTCTGTCTGCTAGAGTGAAGGGGTCAGCCCTACCCAGTAAGACTGGAAGTGGGGGTGGGGGGTAGAGGGGAGGGCAAGTCAATACGTTTTGCACGTGTAGAACTGAGGCCAAACTTTTGGAAGTTCCTGAACCCCACAGACAGAGAGGGCAATCCAGGGAAAGTAGAGATTTTAGCGGGGGTGGGGAGATGACTGGCAGGTTTCCTCAACAACTCGGAGTTGAGGAAAACACAGCAATGCAAGTTGATGAAAGAGAGGAAGAGAAATTAGCCAAAAAATTCCAAGTTAGGATCACATCGCAACGTGCAAATCTCTGGCACCTCCTCGTTGTTTTCTAAATATTTATGGGAAAAATAAAACCCAGAATCCAGAGCTCTATATCCAGCGCCCCCGCCCCCATTTCTACTCTGAATTTAGGGGAGGAAATAAAGCTATTTGGGGCAGTTGAGCCAGCTGACAGGATAGTGGCCAAGTGCCCATTTTCTCCTCTTCCCCTGAACTTGTTAAATAGCAGGCATCCCTGCTAGAGGCTCTTGCCTCACACCAAGGCCAAGCTTGCTCCAGAGCACTTGGCCTGCAGAGCTGGCTTTGGACAGCACTGACATGTGAGCTCAGTGGCTTTTGGGTGACCACAGGAGGGAAGGAGCATTGACCAGGCACGTGTGCCAGGGTGGAATGAAGTGGCCAGTGTGTTCTGCCAGGTGCCTGCCGGCGACGGTGCTCTGGGCCCATCACCCCACCAAATTTATGGGCTGTGAATTTCTCACAGCCGTTGGGAAGTAGGCAGGCCAGATAGGCAGAGGAAGCCTGGGAGAGAGTAGGCAAGAAGGTCAGGGGTTGACACATATTCTCTATTCTTTCCCTGTGGGCACCACACGTGGGACCCGAAGGCTTCCCTAGTTTCTCTCTGTTCTAATGTGTTGGAAATCTGATTTGTCCTGGGGAATCTGACTCTGACCTCTTGAGACCCTAAACCACTGCCTTTCCTGCCCATCTCCTTACCCCCACCAGGTTCTGATCGCTGTGATCCCAGTCACTGACTGGACGCATCACCACCTTACCAGTCTTCAGAGAACACTCCTTTCCATCCGACGAAATGATAGAACCCTCTGAAGACTCATTTGAGACGATGATGGAGCGTAAGAATCCATCATCAAAACAAATGGAGTCCTCTGAGGGCTCATCCAACACCACCATGGAGATAGAAGGCGGAGTACAGGAGGCGGCGGGGCCGGCTCAAGGCCCAGCCCAGGAAATGGGAGAGCTGCCCATTGACCTCCTCCAAGACATGGAGGAGCCATCCAGTGGCCAACATAGTGAAATAAAGGATCCACCCAATGACCTACTCCAAGACCTGGAGGAGTCATGCAAGGCTTCCCGTCAGGAAGTGGGGGATCCCATCGGTGAGGCGCCTGGTGAGATGGAAGAAGCATCAGTCAATGAGGGAGAGCTGGACGAAGAAGACGACGACACTGACCTAAGTGAAGACGAGGAGGAGGAGGAGGAGGAGCCCGGTGAGTTGGAATTAAGGGGCAGGGTCAGCTCCTTCACCTCTATGTACTTCTGGATGCAAGACCTCAAAGAGCAGCAAAAAATAGCAATAGAGATCCTGATGAAAGCGATCAGAATAGGCCGCGTGCCAGAACCGCAAATCTTCTCGGGCGATCGAAGAGATTACCCGGAGTTCTTCGTGCACTGCCACATGATCATACAAGGCTACCCAAGAAAGTTCCGCAACGACCGCCGGCGAGTGAGGTTCGTCATCAGTCACCTCTCAGACACGGCCCTCGAATGGGCCCAAAATCTGAAGCGGCAAAGAAGCCCCCTGCTTACCAACTACCCAGCCTTCATGGAGGCCATGACAAACATGTTCCATTACAAGGAGGAACTGCGTGTGGCAGAAGACACCATGCTCAACATCACGCAAGGGGATCGCGCCGCCATTGACTACATCGACGAGTTCCGGGAGCTGGTACCCACCTTGGGTTGGCCAGACGAAGTCCTGCAGGCCCACCTGTGCCTGGGGCTCAACGAGGAGATCAGGCAGTATCTGTTCCAGCTCCCTCAGCCAGATTCGCTGGACAGTCTGATGGCCCTCGTCCTGCAGATAGAAGAGAACCTGGCAGAGAGAAAGGCCATGCTCAGGATGCGTCCAGAGACCCACTCTCGGAACCTGGCCAAGATGGACTCACCTGCTCCGGAGAAGTGGCCGGTCAGCAGCTGGCTGACCTACGAAATCCAGCCCGATATCGATCGCAGGCACGTCTTCCTGCTGCTCATGGTGAGAGTGAACCCTTACCACAGTGTCGCGGTCCAGGCGCTGGTGGACTCGGGGGCAAGCTCCAACTTCATGGATGAGAGATTTGCCCAAGAGCACTACGTTGAGTTGTTCGAGAAGCCCTACCCACAGTCCATCCACACCATGGATGGCTCCCTGATTGGCAACGAGCCCGTTTGGCTGCACACCGAGCCTCTGGTATGCTTTCATCAGAACCACCATGAGCTTATTGAATTCGACATCGTTCCTTCACCCAACTTCTCCGTGGTCCTGGGCATCAACTGGCTCCGAGTCCACTCCCCCGATATCGACTGGGCCAGAGGCCGCTGCACCTTCCACTCTCCCTACTGCCTGAAGAACTGCTTCAGCCCACTCCCACCATCGACCACACTCGAGAGACATGCCATAAGCCTGCTGCCCGGACTGTTGCCCCAGTATTCCGACCTTGCCGACGTGTTCAACCCGAAGAAAGCAGATGATGAGACTTCCGACCAGCCAAGCTCAGACGGATCCGATGATCTTTCTGAATCAGAGCCCTCTGAGCTTCAGCAGGCTGGAGACAGTGATCACAGCAACACCGCCGACACGTGTCCCTCTGTGGCTCCTCCGGAACCTGTGGGTGCTGGGATGCAAGAAACAGCCAGGCTGGGGAATGAAGAGGAGGAATCGCAGGAGGATAAACAGATAATTCCAGAACTGTTCCAACAGTTACATGGAGCTACGTGGTTCACAAGGCTGGAGCTGCGTGGGAGCATTGTGGAGGAAGGCAAGAAAAAGGCAGCAGAAGAGCTATGGAAAGTAGCGTTTGGTTTGGAGCTTCAAAAGAAGACAAGCTATCAGCCCTTTGAGATCTGCTCAGACCCTCTCATCCCTCAGAGCGTAATGCACTGCATCCTGAAAGACCTGCTGGGCAAATGTGTGCTCTCCTACGGGAATGAGGTCGTGATCTACTCAATGAGCCAGGAGGCGCACCTCCGGCACATCCGCCAAGTCCTGGTCCGCTTCCGACACCACCACGTCTACTGCTCACTGGACAGGAGCCAGTTCCACCAACACACTGTCGAATTCATGGGCTTTGTCCTGACCCCCAAAGGGGTGAGGCTGAACAAGAGCGTCGTGAAGACCATCAGGGATTACCCGATCCCTCTCTCGAAGGAGTCCCTGCAAAACCTGATGGAACTGATGTCCCCCTACTGCCACTTCGTGGAGCGCTTCGCTGCCATCACGGAGCCCCTGCGGCGGCAGCTGCTGACCACCAACCCCTTCCACTGGGGTGACGAGGAGCAGGAGGCCTTTGAAAGCGTGAAGCGGGCTTTCCGCAAGGCACCCCTCCTCCATCACCCGAAGCGCCACAAGCAGTTCTACTTGGACACAGGAGTCAACATGACCGCTCTGTATGCCTCCCTCATGCAAGTTGATGAGCAAACCGGCAAAAGAGTGTTCTGTGCTTTCTTCTCCCGCGACCTCTCTCCTGAGGAGGCCAACTCCTCTCCGCTGAGGATGAAGACTATTGCGATTAAGGCTGCCTTGGATGTGTGGTCTTGCTACCTGGAGAGCACCGAGGAGCCCATCATGATCCTTCTCAATACAGAGGATCTAGCCTCCCTGAATAATGACAGGCTCACCGTAATTCTCCCGGGGCAGTGGGCCAAGTTCTTCGGCCGCTTCCATTGCGATGTCATGGAGAGGCCCGAACAAGATGGCAGCAGTTCTCTGCCGCTGCAGAACCCCAACCGTGGGCCTCTCCGGGCCCACATTGCCACCCGGGCCCGCACTGCCACCCGGGCCCACACTGCCACCCAGACCCACAC